TGTCGTTGGAAATGCTTCATCCCCAATGTAAAGTTATATATAAAGTTAAACAAAAAGAGGAAGCCTGGGTTCTGTGAATATAGCAAAACCACGAAGGCTATCTGCCTAAGATGAGGGATGCCTCTGCTGAGAAATTTTCTAACATTCCCGTTACATATGGAGAAAATCACAAGAACCAATCACGCAGCCAGCCCGTTCGCCTGAGTTAGAACACAAACCATATCAAACTAGCAATATTCAGAGGGTTGACCACTCGTCAATTATTGGAGCACAAAAAGAAGATGAATATGCGGATACTTTCTAATACAGGCACAAAAATTAGCAAATTTTCTTTTTATACTAATGTTAAAATTATTAGCTATTGCATTTTCGAATCGGCAAAAGTACTTGCAGTTTCTTTTTTCTTTAAATTTAATGAAAATAGCAAATAACTCATGGAATTAATTCTGCTGCTTGCTTTTGCTAATACTTGATGATATATAGCCCTAAATTCATGCTTGACATGAGATGGATTAGTTGTGTGCAACAATAAAATATTGAACTCTATTTTATCTTCTTGGACCATCTATTAAAAACGACCTCCCAGGTACACTACCATTAACAATTATCTTCGCTTCACAAACGGTAGACACCGGAAAATATTATTCCTCTGATTCCATTCATGGTAAATGGGTACACGTGCATAGAAGAAGCAATTACAAAATGTCCAACCTAAAGTGTGGCAAAACCACACCCAAAGGTGGATCTACCGTTTCCAGCTGTGGTCCTGAAGAAGTTCGCAAGCGGCAAAATAGAGTGGGGAGAGAAGTTGGACTTAATTTCTTGTGCCAATAGAAAGTGGTTGCATCAGGAGCCAGTGACCTATATGTCATTGTTAGCTAAAGGAACCTGTTCCACAGTTTGGAGAATTTAGGATGGCTTATGATCGTCCATTCCTTTGTCTGAATGAAAAAACACTGATGTCGTCTTTGGAAACCTCAGAATAAGGCCAACGGGTGTCCAGTCTAAACGGAGTAATTTAGTGCATGATTTTAATTACGTTGCCTATTCCAGTTTCAAAATGAATCGCATGACAGTATCCATTGGAAACCATATGCTTTCAAATAAAAACTTTTAAACGTGTTTTAAAATTCACCCACCCTCACACAGCGAGTTCGTAGCAGAAATTTCAAATCAAATTAATGAAATATTAATAAAGTACTGCGTTTTTTATATTTATCAGGACTTACAATTTCTATTGTTGGTATTAAGAAATAAAAATGGTATGTATTTCATATGAATTTCAATCAGAAAAATTTACATTGACCAAAAATAATGCAATAATTCTACTGTAGATTTGTGCAATGCATTAAATATTTTTCAATGTCAGGAAAGGTTTTTTAAAGCATCAAATAGTCAAATACTTTTAATACTAATATTTCAACTTTTAGTGTACCATAGTAGGTTTCTTTCTGTTATAACGTTTTAACCAAGCTACTCTGAAGATGAATGACAGAAAGGTATATTTTCCTTGAATTACTTAGCTGCATTTCCTCACTGTGCATGATTGTTTGTAAGATGCTAGGGAAGACCAAAAGGAGTATAAATTATTTTGAAATTTAGTATGTTGCAAAAGCCTTATTGAGTTTTTGTGTAATGTTGGTTGAAAATAAGATGGAATGTTTCATCAATCATTTAGCATTCTTTACTTCAAGATATTTTATAATTTATGACCCTACTATACGTTCTAACACTGAAGTGCATTTATCAGTACCTAAGTTTACTATTTGAGAAACGAATAGCCTGTCAGTCGTTGTATACTGCAAAAACACTGCACGCATTATTACCAACACTAGGCGTCGAAAATGAAGATTTCCAAAAACCTTCAGTACATTTTACAGCAAGAATAAAATAAAGTTATGAAATATTTAATATTTTCTGTATTTTTATACTGCACACCAAGGGCAGTGGCAAATCTCTTAATGGGCTGCTCAAACCCAAATTTCCCAAACGTCAAGCATTGTGTTCTACCAAAACAATTTTTTTAAAAATTATTTATCATTTTTTAATGCGTGATTTGTGTTTATCTCAGCACCTTCATATTTTTTCATTAAACATCCGATTACATTTTACATTATCACTTATCTCTATTTATAATTGCTGCAAATTGTACATCTGAAAAGCTATTACATATTTCAAAAAGTATAATTTCATTTATTGTTCTTAGAGCGCGAACTGCGTCAGAATCTTCAACATTACATTAGTTAAAATTTGGTAAGTTCCAACTATATAATTTTGTGTAAAGAAAATTACGTGCATCTGTTAACATATACACATATATAATGAATATATATATATTACTGATATTTCCTTTCAATACGTTAAATAAATGTTTTGAATATGCCCAATAAACTGCATATATAAATTTATCCTGCTGTGCATATTCAAATGGCAAAATGGCTCTACCAACACGGAAAATTCAAATTACTTTATTTTTATATTTTCTTATTAATATGCAGAAGACAAAATATTTCTATAGAGATTTTCTAAAGATAATTTTACGAGATAGATCGAGTAAAATAGATTGAAATTACTACAGCCAAACATTATTGATATAAGTATTACAGCTAAATATTTCTTAACAAAGTAGATTTAAATCTAGCGTAATACTAGTTTTTAGTTCGGCACATTTATCGGATAATGGTAGTATTTTTTTGAGCTGATTTGTAAAAGGTGAAAGCTTCACAAATATTCTGAGGGTGTTAATCTTTTTTCTTATGAATAGAGTTCTCCAGTGTTCAGGAATTCTAAATTTCTATTAGTAATTTAAAATTCCTGAATACTGAAGACTCTGAGATCAAAGCAATGTTACTAGCAAGGCGATTAAGACAGTTTAGGAGCTTAAGATAACATTCTTTCATCGGATCTTATATCCATTTTCTTGGATTTTATGTGATGGAAACAAAACTTCTTGCACTTTTCTCACAGATCTAAGTTGATTTTAAGGATCTATAAAAACTTTTAGCACTAGGCTCGAGCCTTTTGGGTAAATTCGGAAAAAATTGTTTAATTTAATTGTTAAATGGCCATAATTTACTTTTGGAATATAATACATTCTGATGTCTTAGATGATAAATCTAAAAGTGAACTCCTGTTGATGGCTGAAAGCGTTTATTGACATTAGTTTCGATAAAAGATGATTAAAGCCAATTTAAAATGAAATAATGAGCCATTACACCTCAAGCATCTGTAATAAAATATTTTCATAGTATATTATTTATAAATCTTTGATTTATTTTCTTTACTGACGTGCGGATATTCAAATAGAACTTAAATAATGAGTTTTAATAGCTTGTTCTAGCAATATTCTTTACGGCGTGATGACAAATAATTTTGATAAAATATTTTCACAGACTTTAATCATTTATCATCACATCCATAAGATTATTCAGCAGGACTTATTGATTCGGTAGTCCGATGTATGCTTTATTGGTATGTCTCGTACACACTGACTTAGTAGTTATTTATTCAAATATTCTAAATTGCATATTAATTCAGGAGAGCAACAGGCAAAAATATTACTCCGATAGAAAATAATCTCCATCAAAAGTCGGTGACATCTTATGAAACTCACCTCCTGCATAAATTATCGAAATTTAAATAAGTTCGAATAAAATGCGTAAAAAGAGCGGTATCTTTGAAGGATAATCAGCAACTTCTAAATACATCTGCCAAGCCCCCAAGTCTGAAATCGTACATGTACTGGACTCTTTGCCCATAATAATGCTTGCATTAGTTACGCCTGCGAAACTTAGCCATGCATTTCATTGACAATGCTCATTATTCTTGGAAGACATTTATAGTTCTATCGCCTTACGGCCTAAGGGCAGATTTTTCAGCAGGTGGTGGCGCAAACTTCTTCGGATCCCGCGAATTGAAATGAATGAGCAAGACATGGGTTGTCGCATTCAATTATTATCAGTTATTAAGCTAGGGATCTGCATTTTCATCTAGCCATAGTTTAGACATCGCTGTCTGGTTCATTTAGAGAAAACAGTTGCTATAGCGGATGCCATTGAATAGGCGTAAAAATGTAAAGGTGAATTGAAGGATAATAACTCTGTTATACTTCATATAAACAGCAAACAAATCATACAATGAACAACAATGATTCATACTAAGGTTGATCAGTGACGACTCCAGTACTCACTACCCGTTTTGGCTCTTGCAAAATACCACCAAGATAATAATTATATGTCTATTATTTTGTAAATTATAAATAACTAGTTTTAATATGTATAGTTCAAATAACTTGTAATGTACAAAGTCTTTGTTTGCTTATTCTTGAATGCTAAAAATACATCGGGTTAAATTACCTTTATTCTCAAACTGTGTCGCTTTCTTTTCATAACTGCCTTCCAGCGTGGCATACGTGCCATGGTGGTACTTTGATTAATTTCGGTAAATATGACTGGTATGCGTATTATCGTTTTGATCGGCTTTTTTCTTAATATTGTCTGCACAGTTCATTGTATTCGTTGTCAGCATATTAATTACCATATAAAATGTGTACGTAAACAATGTTCTTTTCAAATATTAAATTTCCTTAATTTCTATTTATCCTAACATATTACTTATCTAGTTGATATATATTTTCAAACAGAATCGTCTATATTTTTTCGGAACATTTCGGACTGATAGCTATTTCTCAAATAATACATTAATAATATATCTCTCAAAATATACATTTATACATTTAATGTAAAACATTCCTCAAAAGTAATATGTTTAAAAAATAGCCGTTAATGACGCGTTCTTTGTGAGTCACGTGTTCAAGAAATAATACTCAATAATGCATTTCTGAACATATATAATACAAAATACAAAATGTTTTGCTTTCGTATTGAATTTTCATAAATCAAAATATGAAGCTGGCCTAAGCCATAAGTTATCTATTTAAATGCAGCTCTTAACTGCCTTAAAATTAAATTATGACAGAAGACATAGAAATGCAACTTTACCTGCAAAGAAGCAATGACCCATCTTCTTGCTCTTTCGAAAACATCTTCGTCAGACCAGTCAGGATGTTCATCTTGAATCCTCTTCGCCATAACATTATGCCATCGGAAAAACACAATACCAAATGCTAGAAGAGCTGGATTCTGGTTAGACCTTGGATCTCCCAATACTAAAAAAAAAAAAAAGACCTTTAAACTAAACTAAAACTACAAGATTGCAGTAAAAATACTCTCACTTATTAAATTAAATATTTATATTTATTTTTTATTCATTAATTTTGCACATTTTAATCTCAGTTATACAACTTTTTCCAAAAAAATTCGGCATTATTGTAAAATACCAGGATGGCAGACACATGACTGTTATTGCTATAATGAGTTTCATACATATCATGAAAGTTTCATTTAGGAACAATGAAACGTTCCCCATTTTCGAAGTACTGTAGAGTCACTGACATAATATTAAAAATGCCAATATCAAATAATGAAAGGCTTATTGTATGTTAAAATAAGCAAACATTTTATACGAACAACTGTCAAGAGACATTTCCAGAACAAATTTCTTAAAGAAGCATCTCGGCATGAAAATCTTACAATTGTCATGCTGCGAACAGTTTGAGGAGACCGGCTGTTTATGTAAGGAGAAGCAGTGCTACAAATACAGAGGTTCATATTTGTTTTCGGACATCTGTGTTTTTAAGTTTTATTTACAAATATCTGTTACTAAATGTTACTGTTACTAAATGTTAATAAAGTGACTTTTTCTTTGTCATACACTATTTATCATCTTTTTAAAACCTGTTCGTTTTCTAAAAATTTATTCAAAAGTGTTTGATTTTAAACAAAATTGTTTATTCATAAAGTTTTAAAAATGAACTGGCATAAATATTCGCACAATTTGAAAAATCAATTTATATTTAATAAAAACTTGAAAATACGAGGACATTCAACACCACATTAGATATTCAACTAAAATTATACTTTTCTTGCTCTTTGAATTAAATATCACTAATTTCTTCAAGTAAGAATGCTCTGTTTAGTTCTATTTCTCTGTAAGAATTCCTTTTAATAGAGCTTTTGAAGAAATTCAATGTTTAGTTATTCTTTTCTCCAACTGACTCCATTCATGTTCGATAAAATTTAAGTTCGAAAAATCTGAAGGTATTCAGATAACTTCAAGATAATTGTAGAACAACAATAACCGAAAATTTAGAGCTGTATTTTTGGACTGTTATTCTGATAGAAATGGAATGTATTTTGCATTTAAAGATTTCTTGCAGATGCTTTTAGGCTTTCAACAAGAATACTTATATACTATTTATTTTGATCCATATTATTATTATTATATAAAAAGGAAATATTATAAAAGTATACTATACAGTCCATATTATAAAAAGGAAATTACATATTACAGAGGCAGCGCAACATATCCAAAATATTATGTTTCCACCATCATAGTTAACAATAGGCACTAAGTTTCCTGTATTCAGTTCTTCATTTTGCTTTCGCCTCACAGCAATTATCCATCGGACCCAAATGTGCTAATTTTGACTCGTCTACAAATGTAATATTATTTCAGTATGATAAAGTTTTATTTACCATAGAGTTTGCAAACTCCAGACGTATTTTCATTGTTTTCTTATTGATGAAGTATTTTCTTCTTGCTGATTGTCCATTGTATCTATGTGCTTTAATGACTCTTAAAACAGTTTCGGGGTTAATTTTTATTACAAGCCATTCTTTAAAATCAGCTGCAAGTTTTACGGCACTATTTTTGGGTTCTGTTGGATTTTTCAAAGATTAAATTCGGATTCTTTCGCGCTATCCTAGAGTGTGGTCCACACATCGGTACGTTTTGGACAGTCCAAGCAATTCTGTCGTTTTACTATCAGAAAGACAGTTGCCCGCTTTGCACCAATGATTTTTTTGAATAACTTTAATACTGTGATCAGCTTTAAAATCGTGAATAGCTAAATTTCGAACAGAACAAGTGGTTAATTTGTAGCGTCTTTCCGTATTCATTTCAGACACTTGGAACTGTTAATATATTTTGCTAAACAAGTAATAATAACTTAGCAAAAATAAGCAACTTAATAATAAGTATCCTAATTTGCTAAAACAAGTAATAATAATTCTTTTTATGCATTCTTATTTCAAATAAAGAAATATATGACAAGCAACATGATCTTCCATAACATCTGAACAACACTATTATATGTTATTACGAGAGCTGTTGATTGACGCTTTCGAAATAAATTATTTAATTGCAAAGAATCTTTTGATACATTTATTCTGTAACAAGCAGGTCTTAAATTAGAATAAAAAGTGTATATTATGAAAACATTTGAAGGTTCAATAAAAGTTACGAGAAGTACAAGATTTATACAAATAAATTTCAAAAATACAAGTGTCCGAAAACAAACGTGAACTACTTCATATGAAACTGGTGCAAGCAATAGCGTGGCGCATTACTCAACGTCTGAAGTTCAAGCCTTGCAAACTCCACCGGTACTAATACTAAGAAACACTGACAAACCATGATAGGCAGAATTCTGCGTGAACTTTAAAGCTCGGCTTGAAGTAAGTGGTATTTAGAGTGCTTACTGACGAAGTCATGTTTCACTTGTATGATAAATTGAACAGGCATAATTTGAAACACAGAAAATCCGAATGCTACTTTGGAAAACTAAATGTATCCCCAAAGGTTAGCAATTTTTGCACTAAGCCAGCCGCATGCATATGGATGTCCCCTTTTCACAGAGTACAGCATAATGGAGTCCACCTCCCTTTACTTGCGATCCGAGTAATTGCTCTCTCGGTTGTAGGAAGAAGTACAGGACTTTATTTTTTAGGTATCATCATATTTGCACAGACACGTATACTATTAGCTTAACCACAGTTTTCTAGAATCCTGGGTTGAATTGAGTGATGTCCCAAAGAAGTTCTACCTACTCTAAGATCAACCAATCTAATATCTTATAATTTTTTCTTTTGGTGAACGTGAAAGACAGGGTATTTATAGCCCTGCCTTCCAGGATTTACAGCAAATAAAGTAGCCTATAAGCGACGCGGCCGAAGATGTAGAGTAACGCGCCATGTTACAAACAGTCATGATTTGCCGCGTTACAAACAGCGTCCACATAGAACATCTGTATGTGCGCCTAGAAACTTGGAAAGGTTGTCTCTTACGTTAATTTTGAACTTGTAAAATAGATTCATTACATCAAGATCAGGTATATTTTTCGTTCTGAAACGTTCACCTTGAAATATTTGGAGGGTTACTTTGAGAGTTAGCTTCGTTCTTTTCACTTTTTTAAACTAAATTGCTTTTCGAATGATTACAAACATTATTGTATTCCAGGTGAAAGGAAAAGAAATTTGAAATACTTCCACACAGAATTATTTTCCAGTCTCTAATATTAAAGCACAAATACTTGCTTTGTGCTGCTAAACTTTAATTCTAGCGTAATAAGAGCCAGTATTGAAATCAAAATTACATAATTCCGGCCTTTCTGAACAGAAATGGGTAGCAAGAGACGGTCCTAAAATTATTGGACCTACCTTAAATTTGTATTGATGGAAATTAGGTGAAAATATTTATTTTTAAGCCTACGTGTTGTTTTAAAAATTTTAAATGATCTTTACTGACTTTTGTAAATAATCTACTGAAAAAAACTGATTTTTCAAAAATTATTGTACAAATTCCCTTTAATTAAATGGAAATGTATTCCTTTTTTAGTTACTTTTAGATTCTAACTGAAATATTTGTTGAACTTGAAAACAAAATAATCTAGCATTTCATTTTTTACAGAAATATAAACAAAACTCTGCGAAACGACGAATTGAATATTCAAAGGAAAAACCTAAAAACTATATTGATTTCAGTAACAATTTGCTAAGTTGAAGAACGAATAAGCTAACAGCAAGACCGAAAATGGTAAATTGCAACAAAAGTATTAATCAAAACCGGTAAAGAATTAACAGCCGATGGAATAATTAACTTTGACTCCAAGAACCCCATCAGTGACCGAGCGTTTAAGACATCTGAATACTGGCAGTTCGATCCCGGCTAAGTGCAGGCAGGCAGGCTGCATGATTGATATCCCCTGCCACGTATAACGTAAATACGAGCCTTTTCTCCTTAGAGAGTCCTCCAGGAAAGCATTCCTTCCCTTTGCAAATAGGCTTCAAAAGTTTCGCAATAATCAAGTAACCTAACATAACTCGAACTACCATATGTGTATGCATGTATCAGTAATGAACTTTTCTGCGGAAACTGTGATTGGTTTTTCTTAAATATGAAATGCCTTTGAAATAGTTATTGAATTTTTTAACGTAAGTAATTTCTTAAATTATTTAATATAAATGATAATGAAATGGGTTATTAAATAAATAATTGTACAGACAATAAAATCAACATATATTTTATGCAAAAAAATCATTAAATAGAAACTTTGTTCAGTCAGTATGGCCAGTAAGTGAAATAAAAATGTGTTTAATAGATAAGATATGGAGCAAATTTTTTCCGAATTCAATATTCCAATAATTAAAAATATATTCAACATTGTAAATTTTATGCTTTCTTTATGGGATTCTTCTTTGATTAATAAATACTTGAACATTAGTGGGCTGATTAAAGACTTTTAAAAACTCGTTAGTTATCTAAATAAGGTATATAATTAGTTACTAAATGAATTGCCTAAATGCATGGCTTTCAGCAGAAGTCCACAGAAATCCTTACCCGGATTCTATTTTTACAACCATTGGTCGTAAACATACACACCCAGTTACAAAAATGTGTTAAATAATGAACAAAGGTTCATGCTTTAGTATTTTTAAAGAATTTATAGAGACATTAGGTATTTTCGAAGCAGAAGTCGTGAAAAATAAGCAATGCCCTCGCCGGGACTCGAACCGCGGGCCTCTCGAAGTCGTGTCGAGCGCGCTGATCACTACACCACGGAGGCATGCTAAGAAGGTGGGAGAAATGCCTTATAAAATCAATTTCGTAAAAAATTACAAAATCTAATATTTCACTCTTTACTATGGTCCTTATACTTAGGAAAATTTTATAATCGTCAAAAAAAATAAAACATAGAACATTTGACGACAAATATTGACCAAAATATTTGATACGAAAATCGGGAATGATATTCAGAGGCACTCTATA